TTAACGACTAAACAACAACAACAACAATTAAGGTGTAAAACCTTAACGCAAACAAGCTGTCAAGTATGGTTATAGATACCATTTAAGGCTGATACAGTGAGTGGAGGAAGCCTAACCCCCACCCTCAATGCTTCTGAATCTACCGATTATTTGCCAGCAGCACAAAACACATATAGACAGTTTGCTGGTTATACTTACTGAGTGTTTATTGCTGAAATCAAGAAACTATCTGACAGAGAAGGTATCCCTTTGCTTTAAAAAATAGACTATAATAAATGCTCTTAAAAAGCATTCCATTTTTTCCAATTCACTCAAGATTAGAGAGCAAGATTATTAATCTTGCCTCCCCTTTGAATCCCCATTCTCACTTATCCTATCCTGTGGAAATCCAAACTGGTATTGCTGAACATAGTCACCAGCCCTAAGTATTGTTGGCCTTGATTAGCATGAATACAAACAATTATTTCAGCCAATGCCAGGCAAATATTTTTACCAGTTAGCAGAAGGGTACAAAAATAGGAGCTCGGGAGCTGCATATGTCTTACCAACATCCTTTTGTGGCCCCTGTAGATTTTTTTACAAGTGCCTTTGGCCCAATTTCTGCATTGCAGAGGGGCTAAGGTTAAAAGAGTGCCTTAAGCCTTGCAGATATTCAAAACACTCATTTCAGCCCTTCAGATGCCTAACGCTCTAGCCTTGCCTGCTGTAGGAGTGCAATCCTCATTAAGCCACACAAAGGATGCTGTGGCTCTTGAACTGATGAAAGTTATGTACCCCCTAATTTATCATCTGTTTCTGATGGAAATAGGTGGAGCTGTATTCTGTATACTGTAGAATGAGCAGACCAAATTCTGAGGTATGCTCAGAAGACTTCAGTTCCAAGTGTAGTGAGTCTTTAGAAGGGGCATCAGTGATGTCAAGCATTAGACAAGATTTTCTCATCTCTGTTCATTCTTCTTTCTAGGGAAGCCGAGGAGAGCTACTTCTGTCCCTTTGCTACAATCCTTCTGCTAACTCCATTGTTGTGAATATTATCAAAGCTCGGAATCTTAAAGCCATGGATATTGGGGGAACATCAGGTATTGAATTCTAGAACAATAGCAAATAATCTCAGGTCAAAAGTAACCCACAAACTAAGAAAGCTTTATTTTTTAGAAGCTTGGGCACTTAAGTTTGTGGTAAATCTGGTAGAAATCTATGAAATATCAGGACCCCTTTGATGATCAAACCTTTTCACTCCAGCTATCCTCCATTATGATACAACAGTCAAGTGTTATTTATGTTCTGCATCTCCAGCTAACAGAGATGATGTGGCCTTACCTCATCCAGGGTTCTGTGTCTCACAGGAGAAATACTAACAGAATCTACCTGACCCATTACCATGGCAGTATTTCATTTTCATGGACAGAGGTCTTCTTTGATGACAGAATATGATCTGTCTCTTCAGGTGGTTTGTAAAACAACAGTAAAAATAGCAAAGGGAGGTGCCATGTAGCTGAAGATTCCTTTGAAGTGCTGGAAAGGCAATGAATTTCAGTTCAATTTCTATAATTTAAAGTGAAAAATAGGTTGCCTTTTCCATGTCCCAGGGCGTCATCTGAGGACACATGATGTGTCCTTCTTGCTGAAACTTTAGTTGAGTTATTACTGTATAATGGAGAAACCACTGGAGAAGTCCATGTACGCTATCTTTACTTTTGTGAGGGAAAGAGGTAGACATAAAGCATGCAAAGTATTCAGTGGGAACAACAAAGAACACTCCCTACTGATACACACATCAGCTCCATCTTTGCAAGGAGTTTTGTTGGTTCATGGATGAAAGGACAAATTCAAAAGTTTCCTAATAAAGTGTCTTCAAATATCATCCTTCCACAGGAAATGCTATAACAGAACAGAAGAGTAGTTCCCAATGCAATAAAATTTTAAAATCCACCAGGAGTTCTAGAAATTTCTCTGTCCTCTTATGGGAGGAAGATTTCCTTCTTGAATTCCTCTGGGATGGTAAAGGAAAAACAGGAATTTTGGATAAAACCTTTAACTGCAGGAATCAGCAACTTACTAGCAACATGTTGGGTTTATGACTCAAAGTCTGTGCTGCTGAAATTCGGTGGCAAAATGGTCAAATTTTGGCAATGTGGTTTTGGCTGGTTTGTTTTTATAGATTAAAGGTAGAGGTATTTGTGTGTGTGCATCTGGGTGTCCAATATTCAGAACCGGTATTTGGAACAATAGCATGGTTCATTCTGCATCACTTTAGGATACTGATTGTAAGTGGGAAATGACAGAATTAACTAATTATTTAAATAACAGACTGGAAAATTATCCATGTATAGGTAACCTTTTGGGTTTCAAGAGACATTGAGTGGTGGGTTGATGGCTGCACATCTCCATGCATAAAAGCAGAGTTGATCAAGTGGGGAAAATAGGCCAGGCTGTTTTTGGCTCCACAGCTCATAGAAGAATGGCTAAAAACCATATGTGAGTTTTGAGCTGACAGTTGCCTTCATCTGGCTTGAAACAACTTACAGTGTAAATCACTTTCTGGAAATGAAGTATACCTTCTATTGTATTGTTGAAGGCTTTCACGGCCGGCATACGATGGCTGGTGTGGGTCTTCCGGGCTGTGTGGCCGTGTTCTTGAAGTTTTGTTTCCTAA